TTCTTCCATAGGACAGTTCCTAAAGTATTTGCACAGTATCTTTGACCAACTTAAATATTCCCTTTTCCAGTCTTGCCACTTTTAGCTCATATGCAAATCTTAAGACTATAAACCATCTCTAGCTTCTGTCTACAGAACCCATTCTAGTTTATCTGAATCTCTTCTTATTCATACATGCAAGCACTAAAGCACTTTTCCTACCACCCTAGACAATGACTCTGTTGTCAATAATTCAATAGATATGCACTCTGGAACCTGTCAACAATGACATCAAGCCCGAGTACTACAGGTATTGTGTGAAATGCAGCCCGAGTACTACAGGTATTGTGTGAAATGCAGCAAAAGGGGAAAAAAGTATATTTAAGTGTAGTGTTCAAAGAGCAACGGAAGGCTGTAGGTGAGGTCTGCTCTATTCTGAAGGAAATACTAAAACCTAGACAGAGGGTGGTCTTCTTTCCACCTTCTCGTCTTAATCTTTGTCTTCTTTTTGACAGCCATGATATACTGTAAAATTTTGATGCTCTCACAATCTATAAAATCCCAAAATATTTTTTAACACATGCTATTATATTGTCTTTCCCACTCCAACCTGTCACTCTTCCCATCAAGTGCTTCTATAATTGGAAGGGGGTTGGTGGGAGAGAATTATTTTTCCCTCTGGAGGAAAGTATAAGATGTTCTGTTTATTCTGGTCTATACAACTTATTTAGAAGAATGTTCCGATGCAACACGTTTCCTCTTAATGAATTGTTTCTTCTAAACAAGGACATGCCCTTTCATTCCCATAATACAATCTTGATTTTCAGTCTACCAAACTTGAGTTGTACATACCTGATCAGGCAAATTTATATTTTACTACAAGGCAGTGAGTAAAATGTAAAAAGAATTCAGCAACACTGAAGTCCACATTACCTACTATGAAATACCCAGAATACTAAAATACCCTGTGTAGGTCAAATAACATTTTGCTGCTGTGCATTTAACTCATTTGGAAATCTTCTGGCTTATTGCAATCTACCTAGTGATGAGTCAAATATAATGATTAAGAGGGAAATGTCTTAATGCATCCTGAGATCCAACCCACTTAAATTTAGTACTGGAAGCTGTCCCAGGATTAGAAAACCTGGATAAGCACATGAACTTTGTGTGAATCTGTGAATTTATTTTAGCTTGTATTGAGATGTCTATGGCTGTTACAAAAAGGGAATTCCATCGAGATTTCCTGTCTCCTTTGTTTCAATTCAGTAATATCCAGAGTGGTTAAAGCCTATTTTCCCTCCTTAAATACAGTATGTGTATGGATGTGTGTGTATATCAGGGTGTGTGTGTGTGTGTGTGTGTGTGTGTGTGTGTGTGTGTTTGTGTGCAGCAGAAGTAGGAGATGGTCATTCATTCCTCACTGAAATCTGCTTGCTTGTGCACTCCATGATGATCAAGCCATAAGCATTGCGCCATGTGGCTTTTCCTAGCAGCAACACATTTAGGGTTAAGTTTTAGATCGAAGATTTGGATTGGTTGACCAGAACTGCCGATGCCAAGATTCTTAATTAAGTTCATGGTTTAAAAACTAAATTTTTAATCCTAATCAAGAATCATTGTTAATGATCTTGAAAATATTTGTATCAGATAATCGTTGCATACAGATGTGTATTATCTAAAAGAACGTCAGAAAACTTGTAATTATTTATGTATATGCATCCCCATTATAAAGATAAGATAGCCTCTTGATCATCTGAAGAGAGATTTAATGGAAGTTGGAAAATCCTTCATCAAAATTAATATCCCTAGTAATGGTTTATAAAGGAAATTTTTTAAAAAACAAGAAATTGAAACTTTGCGAGTTGTGAAAGGAGAGAAGTACCAGTGATTTTGACTGAGGCATATGAAGTAATGAGGTAGCCTAAAAACTGATGAAATGCTTCAGCTGTACCAAACTACTGAACAAAACAAGAGTATATGGGAAACAGGACACTTTCTGGATTTTCTTTCCAGTGTACAAGGACGTTCCTTAAATTCTACCCCTCTCTCTGGTCCTGAGGGTGCCAGCCCCAGCTGATGGGTACAAGACAATGCTACCTGACCAATCAGGACCATTTTCTTTTCTTTTTTTTTTTTTTTTTTTTTTTTTTGAGACAGAGTCTCACTGATGTCCAGGCTGGAGTATACTGGCACAATCTCCACTCACTGCAACCTCTGCCTCCTGGGTTCAAGTGATTCTCCTGCCTCAGCCTCCCGAGTAGCTGGCATGCACCACCACAACCAGCTAATTTTTTTTTTGTGTATTTTTAACAGAGTCGGGGTTTCACCATGTTGGCCAGGCTGGTCTCAAACTCCTGACCTCAAATGATCCTCCCAACTCGGCCTTCCAAACTGTTGGGATTATAGAGAGGCATGAGCCACCATGCTGGGCCTTAGGGCCATTTTGTAAGAAATTGAAAAGGGGGCTGAAAGAGAAACCCTCTTTCCCACAGGTAAGATCTGGAACTGTTGGGGTGCCACTCTGCCCTGTGGGCTGAAGGATGAAGGAGGCAGGTGTGAAGGGAGATGAAAGGAAAGCAGAAGTTCTTTGAGGAGGAGATCAAGCTAGGGGTAGAATGCAGGTGGCTTCCCATGCCTGCCCCTGGGCCTTTCCAGAGACTCTGAGGAATTTCCACTCTTAACTTTCAGGAGAAACCCTATTCAATAATAACAGAGACCTCTTCATTTGTTTAACTGTCTCTGATGGGCTACTGTTACTTGCAACGTGTTTTGGCGCGATGATAGAGAACAAACCAGAAACAGTACTTACACAACTCCAAGTAACCATTTAACCTCAGTCACTCTCAGTTCCTGGTCTCCAAAATGAGGATAAAATAATTCTGAATATTTACATCAATCCTGTATTTGAAGATTAATGATTATTGTGACAAATGTTACTAGAGAGCCTCAAAAATCACATAAAATCCTTTAGTACACGTGCTGTCTTTTATATAATTTAATGCTGCCACCCGAACTGTTGAGAAGGAAACGGATTGTCCGCTCATAAAGTAGTTGTTCTAACCACCTTTCACATGTAGCTTAATGGGGTTTGAAGAATAGTATATTGCAAACAATTAGAGGTTTCCTTTGTGAGATATTAACTGGTTCAACAGATAGAAAATCAACTTCACTTTCAACCCTCTGATACCATAAAAATCAGCCAATTTGCACATTTTTTTCTGCTAAAGGTGGTCTTAAAATATGACTTATTTTATTGACATATTTATATATTATGTATTCATGCATTAGCCTGCTACCATATCTGCTAATAAATTATACCTGTGTATATAATCTATGGGTCTCTATGTCTGCATATACACCTGTACACCCTTTTACCAGTAATATTTCTGCTTCTTGTGTGTTCCAGTTTCACTGCCTTGGACATGTTATATAACCTGTTGTCTCCTCATCAATCTGTTTTCTCTGTCTTAATAGAGAAAATATTACACCACTTGAAGGAAGAATTAAATAAAATAGTCTACAGAAGTACTTTGCAAGCAGTAAAGGACTACACAGACACACAGAGCTAATATTTCCAGTTAAATGTATAAGAAATTTCATAATCTGAAGAATGAACTATGAATCCAAAGCAGCTTTCTTCTCCCCCATTCTTTCTTCATAGGTGTTTAAAGAGCTGTAGAAAAATAAAATGTTCAGCCTTTTTTTGCAAATTGGTAGCAATTCTTCATTCAGGGAAGGTCTTTTCCAGAAAGAAACTGAAGTCTTTCCGTCATCCATGTGTAGAATATCTGTGCTAAAACCTTTCCATGCACACTTCTTTGAAGCACTGGCTGCCTAGAGGAATACTTTGATTTGGGCTTTATTTAAATGCCTGAACTTCTATTGTAGAAACAAAAGTTTTTCTAGTAAGAGCTCAGTTGGGAACAGGACCAACCTCCAGCCAGTTTAACCACTCAGAGGCCAAGCAGCCTGGCACTTCTTAGATCTCTGTGCAGTGGAAATCTTCCTGAGAACTTGCAGCACAGGCCAACAGCTAGTTTGGGAGGCTAGCGACCCTACGTGCAATCACTGTAGTAATTAGATTTCACTTTCCTAATCCAACAGTGGCTGATCCCATCAAGCTTGTGTCTCCTATGTAGAAAATCATTACTCTCATTTAATAATACTTTGACAGTTTTCATATTTTTGTGGCTTAGTACCTTAACAGTAGATATTACCTATTTGTAACTATCAGTCTAGCCATTCACACAGCTCTGTGTAGCAAAGAGTTTAATTTGGTGGTTATCCTACTTTGGTAACTTTCCAGAAGGATCGTCAAACGTGAAGCAGACCTTGAATATCATTCACTGAATACAGCCCTCTTCTGCAAGTCGTGTGTATGCTTGTATCCGTTCATTTAGAACGATGGCATCAGCCATAAGTCATTGGCAAGCCTGAGGGTCTGGCTTTTGAGTGTTTCTGCAAGCCCAGGGAAGCATGGCTTCGTGCTACGACATCCTGGGGTCACTCCAAAAGAATCACAGAGATCATGGGGCTACGTGAAACCGTGTCTTCCTGGAAGGAGAGAAGGAAAGACACGTCTGAATGTATCCATGTCTGCTTGCGTCTGGAGAACGCCTGTTTATGTTGTAAAGAAAAGCCATCGGTATTGTCATCTCAGGAGACCGGCTCGTTTTATGTGTGTGCATGTTATGCGAGCTATCACACGAAGCTGGTCCACTGATAGCGTGACGAGGTACTGTGTCCCTGGGAATTGTAATTGCTTGGTCGGCGAAAAAAGAACATCAGATCTTTGCTGATAGCAGCACAGGGTGCATTTTGATAGTATAAAAGAGGAAACAGACGGAGTCACACAAGTTCTGAGTATATCTTAAACCCCCGCTCAAGAAAAAGAAAGAAGAAAAAAGGAAGGGAAAGCCTGGGGCTGGAGGAGTGTTCCAGGGAGCGAATTGCTCAGGACTTCAAACACTGGGAGTCATTCTGTCAAGGGGAGGGGGCGGGCGGGGGCAGGCTCCGGGCCTCTTTAACAAAGTCCTCCTCTCTCTGCTCCCTCCCACTTCATTCACTTGCAAATCAGTGTGTGCCCACAAGAGCCAGCTCTCGGGAGCCCGTAACCTTCGCATCCCGAGAGCTGCAGTTTCGGCCGCGACAGCAGAGTCGGCGACCGCGGCGGCTGCGGCGGAGGCAGGAGCAGGCTGGGCGGGTCGCAGGGTCTCCGCGGGCGCAGGAGGCGAGCAAAGGTGGGTTCGGGCTCCGCTGGCTGTGCCTACATCTCCCCCCGCTTTTTTTTTTTTTTTTTAATTCTGTAGCGTTGATGGAAGCCAATCAGAGAGAGAGCCCTCTCTGCCCGTGGGTGCCGCGCGCGGAGTTGGGAGGGATGCTGTCAGCCTGCGAGCCCGGGTCGGGGCGGGCGCGCGGGTCCGGCTTCGCGTGCGGCGCTGCTGCCGCTGCCCGGGACCGACGCCGCTTCCCGGGGAGCCTGGGCGCCGCTCCTCCGCCTCCTGGTAAGCCCGATCCGCCGCGGGGCTGGGAGGGGGCACCGGGAAGCGGGCGCCGGAGAAGAACCCGCCGCCTCTCTCCGCGCCGGCAGAGGCTGCCAAGGGAGCTCCGGCATTTGCAAAGTTGGCCGGTCAATGACCGAGGGCGCCGGTGCGTGCAGGACCCGCCGAGCCGTTTGGGGCTGCGTGTCTCTCCACCTGCCCGCATCAAAAGGGTCCGTGCGGTGACTGCTTGGGCTGGGTTACATTTCTTGGCTTTGGGGGAAAAGCAGAAAATCAGGTAGTCTGAAAACTCTGCCATGCTCCCAGTAAGGAAAACTTAAACTAAAGAGACGATTTGGCTGGGAAAAGAAGCTAAAGAAAACTGTTAGCTTGCACGTTCCGGGCAACGCCTGCCGGTTCATCTAGGACAGAAATGCTTAGGTTGCAAGGAAAGTCCAACGTTGGACTCGGAAAATGGAGCACACTGTCCAGGGAAAAGTCATGTGGAAGGCGCAGCTCGCTCGTGCTGTTCACGGCTGGCCAGCCTCAAATCTGGGGGAGAAAGCCTTCCCCGGGCTGACTGGAGAGTGCTTGCAGTGCGCTTGGTTTTAGGTGCCAGATGCAGAGAAATTGGAGCCCCCAGTGCGTTAATCCCAGAATTTAATAAAGAGGGACGCTGCAATGTTGTGGACTGCAGCAGTTGCAGAGCTGAGATGACTTCTGTAGTTAGAAATTCTTCTGCCAAGAGTTAGCGTACATCACGAGATGGGAGATGCTGGAGAGGTCAGCCTGGTGCTAAGAAGTGTTGTCGCTGCTGCAATAAAATCCATATTTTATGGGGAGTTAAATTCACGTCTCTGTTCGTGCAAGGGGCTGGACACCTGAGTTAAATATGACTTGGAACATTTAATAACCAAGAAGTTTAATCGTCTGGAATAGCCACACGTTTCTCTCTCCCACTCTCATAAACAAAAAAAAAAATTATTTTAATTATGATAGTCACCCTATAGAGGTGTATCAGACCGCGTCTCTGCCAGTCTTCACTTTCACTTTGCAAAACACACAGTGGGAAAGAAGGAAAAGGTTTTCCCTGCAAGAATGTTGAGGAGTGGCTTTTGTGTACATATATGGCTGCTCTGGACGGGTGCAGATCAAAATATGGGCTTTCTGAGTGGTTAATTATCAGGGGGTTGCAAACTCCTCCCTGTTGGAAAAGGAACCCGGGGATATGCCTAGTTAATACACAACTCTTCCAAGAAGGACTAACAAATATGCTTATGTGAACAGTGCCAAAAGGTTGCTTATTTTCTTTCTTTTCTTGCTGAAAGCTTTACCTGAAAAGGAAAAGCCTTAGGATTTTACTTTGAGAGAGGGGAAAAAAAAAAAAATCTCTTATGGTTTCACTTGAGACTTGAGCATCATCCTTTGTGAAATAGTATTTGCATGGCTCTATGCTTGCTGTTTTAGAGAACCGTAAAACCAGCTGCGGGAAGAAAGGGGTATGATAGAGCAGATGTCTTCATTATGTCATAACCAGGAGGGCAAAGTTTATGCCAGAGGCCAGATTGTCAATGCAAAGCTCAAAAACTTAAAAGAAATTCAACAATCGACTGGAAAATGCAATCACATAGGACTGTATCTCATCCCCTTTTGCTCTTTGGTATATTCTAATTAAAAAGGTACTGGAGGAAAATAAAAGGCAGATCTCTCCCAGCTAATTTAATGGTTCATGCAATACTTTTGAAGCAGAGGAAGTAACCAATTTCTTCAGAAATACTAAGAGGCAGCAGCCCATTTTTGAAGGGAAATGGCACCGATTTAGTTCGACTGTATTTGTGTCTACGATTATCTTTTGCTACCATTACAAGAAAGTGACAGGTTGGTATCTCCACAGGGACTTTTAGTCCCTTTACTATCTGGCTTTTACACCAATTTATTGCAGTTACATTTTGTACTGCTAACTCTGCAAAGAAAATATATGGAAACATAATCATTTTCTACCAAGTTGCCTACTATCAAAACACGTGTACCCTACTTCTTCCACCCACCACTTCCATCAGCTTTGCAAAGAAAAACTTACTGAGGCACTCTTCTTTTAAAGAAAAAATTTATCTTGCAAAATACTGCTTGAGACACTTGAAAACAGCTAAAAAATTTCTAGAAAGCACAGCTACAGTCACAGGGTATTATATGATGCTGTGTTCTGGTATCAATGCATTGCAACAAGTTCTGAAATTTTAATTAGGACTAATTGAGTGAGTGTCCCACATAGGGATTTAAAAAAAAAAGAAATGAAATGTGACAAATATTCTGAGTAAAATCACAGCCTTTCTAAGGAATTGAAATGTGTGGTCCCCACTTCTGGCCCCATAGTTGCTTCGCAGTCATGAATGCCAACTTCTTAAGGCTGCATCCTTTGAACTATTGAAACTTTTTTTAGTTGGAAGGGACCTCTAGTGGGTCACTCTATGCATTTCTCCCTGGAGTTCAGTTGCAGAATGGATTTTGTTATCTAAGATAATAAAAGTATAACAACTTTGTCTCTGTAAACAAGTTAGCATTCTCTAGGCACTCTCTTAATATTTGTGACAGGTCATATAATTATTATTGCCATTATTTCTGTACTTTCTCTAATTTAAGGGACTTACAAATATTTTTTATAGTTTTCTGGATATCTAGACTTTTGGTAACTAATAGATGTTCCAAATGAAAGCAATGTCCAATTAATAAAGAATTTACCATCATCAATATAAGATTTTCTTATTTGTGACCTTTCCAAGACTCTACTTCCTTACTTCTAATTTACTCAAAAATAATAATATATTTAGAGCCCCAAAAGTTATACACAAAGAGTGCCCCCCACAACAAAAGAAATATTTAAAGGAAAAAAATGCAATTACTGTTTCAGAAATCCATGAACATTCACAAGTTGTGCTGGACGAAAGGCATCTAATTCAAAGAATTCCCCATTCAAATAAATATGTGTTAAACATCCAAAAGATGTTTAGATACCTGTGTCACCCTTACTCCAGGTTTTTTCTGCTTTATTTCTTTCTTTGATGTATCATAACACATGTTAGGTAACCTACTCCTTAAAATACTCTGCCTGAAACTTGGAGTAAGATAACTTCTGGAGGGTGAATCAGCCTCTTCTGCTGACAGTCTGCAGGTTTCAACTTCCAATTTAAAAATCTGTTCTAAAGTTTGAAATGTGCTCCAAATGAGATAACATCCGGCAGAATCCAGTTGCCTTGTGCTTCTTGCTTAGTCACGGCTGCTTGTTCTTCGGTGTCCATCAGAATTAGGGTCTCGCTTATAAAAATAACAAGCAGTGACTCAGTCTGAATTGCATTTTTAATAGTGTTTCAACCTAGCTAGTGTCTACTGAGCACACTGTATTTACTTCACACAAAAAGTGAAAATGTGGATAATCCAACCTTCCCTGATTTAAAAATTTTTCTGAATAGCGATTCTAAATTCAAAGACTCAAGAACATTGTGGTAACAGGAGCATGGCAGAAAGAAGAATGCACACACGCACACACACATACACACATACACACGCAAACACAACACCCAGTTGTGACAGTGTTCCAAGAATATTAGAGAAAAAACACAGAAATAGAGCATGTGGGCTGATTTTCTTTTCTCCTTCTTTTTTTTTTTTCCATATTGTTTTCTCCATTGGGATATTTATTTTATTTTGAAGACAGATGAGTGCTTGAAGCACTTTCCCGAAACTAAGTAGTGATATTTTTGTTCAAGCTTGCCTCTTACAAAGATTAACTGGTCTACGTTTTTTTTAAGTTTCTATTCCTACAGAAGCCTCTCTTTTTCAAAACAATCTTATGAGGATCTTCAGCTTCTCTCTAATTAACTATTGAACCAAATGTATATAGTCTTTGTCATGCTATCACTCACAAAATAGGAGGTAAGGGAAGAGAGAAGAGTATCAATAACCCTTCAAAAAAGTGCTACACCTGAATTCACTACAAAATAGTTGGGTCAGAGAGATCCAGCTACAGCCAATAGTCTAGTTATTCAAAACTGAACTATCCAAGAAGTTTTTTAACCCCTCCAACAAAGAAAACTAACTGAAGGATGAATGCTCTGAGCACACATTCATAAATGTGGAGTAGACACATATGCAGAGATTACTGGAGATTATTTCACCTTATTTCATCTGTTTAGTATCTTTACACTAACACCGTTGGGTGCTGGTTTCTTCTAGCAATCACCTTGCTGTGATTTATAAGAGGTAGAGCTGAATTAATGCCAGAGTGTTAATATTAAATTTGATTTGTCATGTACATGGGCAGCATGAGTTGCAAGTTTTTCTTAGCATATGTGGTACTATCTTGTGAGAGAAATGACTTATGAAGAAGATGAGGCCCATAAAGCTAGCATACTACAGGATATGATTTATCTTTGTATTTTAGCACTTGAAAGAATGCTGTGTTTTTCTCTTTCTCTAATTTCCTAAACTGGTAGGTCTGGCCAGAAATATCCAAGAGACCTAATACATTATAGGAAGAAAAAACAGCAAGAAAAAATTAACTTGGGGAACTGTCCAAGTGAGTAAAATGGAAAGAGATGAGGAGGTACATTTTTACAGCAGAGAGAAACATAAGAATAGAAACAGAATCCAAAATAGCCAATTTTACACAGGGTGCATTTTCCTCTTTATAAATGGTGCTACTATTAAATGCCACTTTATAAACATAATTACATCATTAACATATTTATACACTACTCTTATCT